TTTTAAGAAAAAGAAAATAGACACAATATATCTATATTATTCAATGAAACATATATAATATATATATATATATATATATATATATATATATATATATATATATATATACATGGATCATAACATTCATTGAGTGGTTAGTGGATTAATGCATTTTAAAAATTTAGTTAGCGAAGTGATTTCGGCATTTTATTTCATTAACTTTACTAATTTACTTTTTGTATGAATGATTCGCTATAATACATTTGGTTGGATTGATGTGAGTTTGTGACCCTGGTTTTCACGCTTTTGCGATCGTCAGACAATCTTATATACAGAAACTTTTCACACACATATATATTTATATATAACCACTCAATGAATGTTATGATCCTTGTGTGTATATATATATATATATATATATATATATATATATATATATATATATATACTCGACGTATGAGGGTCAAACAGATCAGTTCCCAGGAAACCGACAGCCCGACAACAGCACATGAGAATTGATTATAGTGGTGAAGGTTTCGTGCAGGATCATCCACACTTTTTGGGAACTGGTGCACTACGTGCCACAAGGTCCCCAAACTACCCTCCGCAGGTTTTGAATTCAGAGTTGTCCTTCTCCTAGACCAGTTGCCATCCAGTCTGTCCTGGAGAAGAAGAGGATTCATACCTTATTCCCAAGGGTATTAGCACGTAAGTGAATGTAATTCGAATTTGAACTCGGCTCTCCGATTCCTCAATCCATGCCGATATCCATTACTCCACCTTTATATATGATTCATTGAATAATATAGATATATTGTGTCTATTTATTTTATTTTTATACGGATCCTTTCCTGTTGATGTTCAGATGAAATTCATCAAGGAAGGCGCGTTGTATTTTTTCTAACGCAAGTACTTTCGATCTTTTCCAAGATCATCTTCAGGGGTAAATTACAAACACAAACTTATTGTAAATGCGATCAAATCTAGATTACATCAGGAAAAACTGGTTGAGAAAAAGCTACGCTGTTTTCATTGATGTTTTTCATCTTAACATCAAGAAACTGGAAACAGATCACTAGAAATATATATATATATATATATATATATATATAAATTTTCATTTATTACAAGTTCCGTTTTCGCCGAGTCTGAATTTATACTTACTATAGATATAGCTTACATATATATTTAATAGGCCCTTTTCCCAAAACCTAAATAAAAGAAAAGGAATTTGAATAGTTGCCTACTAGCCGCTTTTTACTATAGAATGATGATATACCTACCTCTGGTCGTCTCCCAAATATATATATATATATATAAGTATCACGCATTGAGTGCTGGTTCTAATAAAACAGAGACACCGGCGAGGCATATATATATATATATATATATATATATATATTCTTCCGCAGACTGAATGTTTCGCTGTATCACAGCTCATCAGTGTGACTAGACGTCCGGTTGACTCTAGCTAGGATAGAAACCACACACACACACACACACACATATATATATATATATATATATATATATATATATATATATATATATATATATAACGCACCCTCACATAAGACGCCCCCTTATTTTACAAGGATATTTTTTGTGGAAAATAAAATTGTGTCCATATATATTTATTGAAATATATTTTTAAATGGTTTCGTAGCGGAATATGTATGATTTTGTGCAAGAAAATACAATATTGTAATAGTTTATTGGAATAAAGTATGGAAACCTATACTGTAACTTTAACCTTCAAATGAAACTAAATTAAACTTGCCGTCCACTTAATTGATTTTTCTCTCAAAATTAGGGATTCTGGGGATGTTTAATTACTAACACCATTTTGTTTAGTTTCTACTATATAAATTGTAACCATTGTAAAGATTCATTGAGGATTCATTTTTGAAAAGTTATTTTTATTCTCTACCTCCACAGACAAATTGTACATCTGGGGACTAGTTAGAACTTCATAGAGACTCTGAGGTATTGTGGTGGCTGTAATAAGACTGATAAGTAAGAATGCGTTGTTTTAGTGGAAGGAATATTATAATTTGTTTAGGTTAGCGTTTATGGCTTGCAAAGTTTAAGATAACAAATATTGCTGACCAACCTTCCCCTATCTCGTAATTTTGGCTTTGTGCCACATTTTTGTATCACCGCCGGCCAGACGTCTAATTACCGCCAGTCACAATGAATGGATGTCCCCTCGAGGAGTCATCGTACCTTGAGAGAATATTGGGCCTCACACCTGACCTTAAGTGGAACTCATATACAGTCCATCGATAAAGATGCGGATATAATGATCGCTTGCCAGTACCGCTATCCTCTGCCTTTATAAGAGCCAGATCAGGTAAAAAATGGAGTACTGTTCTCATATTTAGGCGGGAGCTGTCCAGTCCTCACTTTCCAGTCTCGAGAGAGCTCAAAAGTTTCACGGAGTCCTTCTTGGAAAAGAATTATTTTCCATCCCCCAACGTCTCACTCACAGACAGGATATGGCGAGCCTGTTATTGCTCTG